ATTCTTTCAGTCTTCATATGAGCAGGAATTTCACTTGTTCCGTGAAGGATGAATTCGATCTCATCAACCGTTCCGTTTTCTTTATCGTCCGTTTGCTAAGCGAAAGAAAATGGAATTATCTAAGGGTCACTAATATATAATTAAATTATCGTCGCCCCCTGCTCATTAGATTTACGCCGCACGGTTTTAAGAATAGCATTACTAAGATTTTGGGGGGGAAGAGAGAGGGAGGAAGAGGAGGAGTAGAATGGCTCAAAATTTAAAAGAAGTTTAGAGTAAAAAACTGAATAATGAGTTTTAACACCTGCTGGATCCCACGTTGAGTTCCGCCCGTATTAAGCTTGGTCCCCTTCAGTGCGTCATGTCTGCATGTTTGGTTATGTCATCAGGATAGAGGAGATGAATGTTTTAATATATCAGGGCGTGTGTGTATGTGTGTGCGTGTGAGTGTGGCGCGCGGGTGTGTGTGTGTGTGTGTGTGTGTGTGTGTGTGTGTGTGTGTGTGTGTGTGTGTGTGTGTGTTGTGTGTGTGTGTGTGTTGTGTGTGCTGTCTGTGTTTCTGCATCTGCATCCGCGTCGGTGTGTATAAGCGTACTATATATACATGCATGTCTGTGTACTTGCGTTCATGTGTGCAAGTAAGCCTACCAGCTCAAAAAAGAAACTCACAAAATCGGAAATGTTCAACCTCCAGACTCCTTGCGGATCCTCTCCCCAGGTATGAACAGACATGAACGCCCAGTCCTTAAATCCTTCTGTGGATCTGTCTGCCACGCGAGGACTCAGCAGTGTGGTCGGTGTGCCTAAGGACAGCAAGCGGTTAATAAAAGGATATGCGATAGATAAACGTTGATAAGAATGGTATATTTGTTATGTACGAGTTACGTTGTGTAGGAAAAATAAATGCGTTTGGTTCTAGATATTAAAGTCAAAGCGGCGAAATGGTTTTGGATTTTATTCCAAGTGCATGTTTTTTTTTTTCAACTGTGTTCATTTGGATGTTTTTTTTAATAGTCCGTTTGTCATGATTATGTACAATATATGTTTTCTTGTTATCGGAAAATTACATAAAATGAAAAATGAAAAGTTGGATTATAAGATCATACAATATTTTCGTATGACAATCCAAGAAGAGAAAACTAAACAGCCGAAATTATCTGAGAAATAGAAAGAATAACCAAGAGGAAGTGAATGCTAACGTTAATCTAGTTCGTTCGTTAAGTAGCATCATCATCATCCTTAAAATCATTAAAATAATTATTACTTCATCATTCTACGTCACAATTATTGATTTCCATAATCACTTCCTGATCCACAAAAAATTGAAACAACAACAGGGCGTCTTTGACCTTCGATACATTTAAACAAAAACAAAACAAAAAAAAGATTTCCCAGCATCTCACGGCCTTCACCCTCTCTTCCGCATCTCCTTCCCCTAATACACACACGTACGCACATACACTTTCTCTCTCTCTATCTATCTCTCTCTCTCTCTCCTTCTCTCTCTTCTCTCTCTCTCTCTCTCTCTCTCTCTCTCTCTCTCTCTCTCTCTCTCTCTCTCTCTCTCTCTCCCTCCCTCTCACCACTCTCTCTCCTCTCTTTCCTCCTCTCCCTCCTCCTCTCCTCTCCCTCTCCCTCTCCCTCTCCCTCTCCCTCTCCCTCCCTCTCCCTCTCCCTCTCCTCTCCCCTGCTCCCCCTCCCTCCCTCCCCCCTCCCCTTCTCTCCCTCCCTCTCTCCCCCTCTCCCTCTCCCTCTCCTTCCCTCTCCTCTCCCTCTCCCTCTCCCTCTCCCTCTCTCTCCCTCTCCCTCTCTCTCTCACACACAAAAATAAATCTTACCCATAGGACTCGTAAGGGCGATGTTGAGGGCGCCTCTCCTGGAGTATCTGACGGAGGCGACGACCTGGACGTGCTCGAGGGACTTGATGCTGCACTGCGAGGTCACTTCGAGGGAGATCAGGACTTCTTCGCCGGTCTGCAGGTCCCTTCCCATGCTGGAGGAGAGGTGGGGGGTGAGAGAATGGGGGAGGGGGGTGAGAGGAGGGTAGGTGGAGTAAGAGAACGGGGGAGGGGGAGAGAAGGGTTAGGGAGGGAGGGAGGGTAAGGTGGAGTAAGAGAGAATAGATAGGAGGGAGAGAATGGGGAGGGAGGAGAAAGGGTAGGTAGGGGGGAGAGAGGAGGGGAGTAAGAGAACGAGGGAGGGAGGTAGGGTATATTGGTAGGTGGTAGAGAGGGTAGGTAGTAGGAAAGAGGGGGAGTGAAGGAGGGAGGAGGGGGAGGTAGGTGGGAGTAAGAGAACGGGGGAGGGAGAGAGGACAGATAGGAGGGAGTGAGGGTAGGTGGGAGGGGGGGGAATGAGAGAACGGGGGAGGGAAGGAGGGAGAGAGGGTGGGTGGAGGTAGGAAAGGGAGAGTAACAGAACGGGGGAGAGAGGGTAGGTAGGAGGGAAAGAGGGAGAGGAGAGTGAGAGAATGGAGGAGGGAGGAAAGGAGGGAAGAGTGAGAGAACGGGAGCGGGAGGAAGAGACGGAGGGTAAGTGGGAGGGAGGAGAGGAAGGGAGAAAGGGAGGAAGAGAAGGAGGAGGATGGGAGAGAGAGAAGAGAAAAGAGAGAGGGAGAAAACGAAGATGTAGTTCCTTCTTTTCTGAGACTCAATGGAATATCTATTCCTCGCTTTTACATTTCAGACAAAAAAAAAAAAGAAAAAAAATGACACAAATAAAAATACACGACACAACCGACAGCAATGTTGAAGTCAAAACAACACAATCTCCGGTATAATTAGTTCAACGTTAGAAAAAAATAATTAAAAAAAAACATTCATTATAAAATGCAATATACCAATCAACACGGCACTCAAGCTCGAGTCCAATCAGCATCCAATCTAGAATCCAATCAGCACTTCCCTCAAATCAGAATCCAATCAGCACTCCACCCAATCTGGAATACAATCAGCACTTCATCCAATCTGGAATCCAATCAGCACTTCATCCAATCTGGAATCCAATCAGCACTTCATCTGGAATACAATCAGCACTTCACCCAATCTGGAATACAATCAGCATCCAATCTGGAATCCAATCCAATCTGGAATCCAATCAGCACTTCACCCAATCTGGAATACAATCAGCACTTCACCCAATCTGGAATACAATCAGCACTCCACCCAATCTGGAATACAATCAGCACTTCATCCAATCTGGAATCCAATCAGCACTTCATCCAATCTGGAATCCAATCAGCACTTCACCCAATCTGGAATCCAATCAGCACTTCTTCCAGCACTTCTCTGGAATACAATCAGCATCCAATCTGGAATTCAATCTTCAATCAGCACTGGCAAATCTGGAGCACTACACTTCATCTGGAATCCAATCAATCAATCCAATCTTCATCCAATATGGAATCCAATCAGCACTTCACCCAATCTGGCACTTCACAATCTTCAATTAATCTGGAATTCAATCTGGATTCAATCAAATCTAATTCCACCACAGCACTACACTTCAATCTGGAATCGAACCATCCCTTCACCCAATCTGGAACCCAACCAGCACCCTGAAGACACCCCGCCCCCCTCCATACCTCTCGGTGGGCGTGACCCTACAGACGGTCTTCTCCGGAACACGAGTCCAGTTCCCGGCGACGCCCACGAGGCCGACGGCGCTGAGGAGACCGAATCCGAAGCGAGGGTTGACCTTGAGACCGCGCCCGTTGGTCACCCAGCCGCTGTTGTGACGTAATGGTCCGACCTCGCTGCTCCACACCACCGCGTGCTGCATGTCCCGCCAGGTCATTTCTGGGCTGCGAGGGAGAGGTTAGAGGTCAGAGGAGGTCATTGGGGTTAGAAGTCATTGGGGACAAAGGTGGGTGTTTTGAGGGCGAGGTTAGAGGTCAGGACATTTCTGGGCTGTGAGGGAGAGGTTGGACGTCATTGGGGTCAGAGGAGGTTATTGGGGTTAGAAGAAGTCATTGGGGACAAAGGTGGGTGTTTTGAGGGCGAGGTTAGAGGTCAGAGGAGGTCATTGGGGTTAGAAGTCATTGGGGACAAAGGTGGGTGTTTTGAGGGCGAGGTTAGAGGTCAGGTCATTTCTGGACTGCGAGGGAGAGGTTAGAGGTCAGAGGTCATTGGGGTTAGAGGAGGTCATTGGGGTTAGAAGAAGTCATTGAGGTCAAAGGTGGGTGTTTTGAGGGCGAGACTAGAGGTCAGGTCATTCCTGGGCTACGAGGGAGACGTGTGGGGTTAGAGGTCATTGTTCTGAGGGAGAGTCGTTGGTAATCCTGGGTCATTTCTGGGCTGCGAGGGAGAGGTTAGGGGTCAGAGGAGGCCAATTGCCGTAAGGGAGAGATTCGAAGTCAGGGAAAGTCGTTGGTGATCCTAGGTCATTTCTGGGCTGAGGGGAAGGGGTTAGAGGTCAGAGGAGGTCATTGGAATCAAAAGCGTATGTTGTAAGGGAGAGATTAGAAGTCAGGTCACTGCTGGGCTGCGAGTGTAGTGAACATGCCCTTCGTTGGCCCCACGTGAACCCTCTCTGCCCAGGTCATTCCCCCTGCATGGCTTTGGACGCCGATATCTCTATAGCTCAGTTTAGAACACGTATATGATCTCAGAAGACCATGTGACCTTTTCACCTGTTCGGATGACATCCCCGAACCATGCCAGTGACGGTCTGCTTGTGTGAACCAGCAGTTACCTCAAGCGCTATTGGGGGTATGCAAACTACCTGTGTGCCCGCCGCCACTTAGCCAAGGTAACCCCCAAGGTTTTCCGAACCGGAGGAGGAGACACCACATTGCCGCTGCCGGTTGAAGAGGCCGATGGAGATAGCTCTTCTACAGACAGCAAAAATCAAGTCATATCCCCAGTGCTTTCGAAAGAACACGTGCAAGCCCTAGTCCGCCCGAGTGATTAAGTGGAAAGTGCGGACAATTAAGTGCCATGCCACGTGACAGACAGCGAGTTTGTGTCATTCAATTGGTATATGAATGCTAGTCGCAGTGTTGAACGTTTGTGTTGATTACAGACACGCATTCGTTTCGATTTGTTCGTAATATTCATTCTTCATTCGTTTGTGAATGTATTCGTTTTTGTTTCCTTGTGTGTGTATTTCATGCGTATGTAATTATTTTGTCTGTATATGTATTCGTCTATTAGTGTGTATTTCTTTGAATGTAATGTAAAGATATAATTATATATATATATATATATACGTAAGGATTAATAAACCTGACCTTTCTCATTTTTCTTTCATTCTAAAACCGAGCGAACACTGAAAGATCACTGACAAGATGTAATATTCAATATCAAAATTGCAATTAACGTAAAGATAAATCATTTTAAAAGACTGAAGACAAGACCTGAAGAAGTTTAATAAAAATAAAAATGTCCAAAAGGCTAAATAAATAAATAGATAAAATGAAATGAAAATCTGTATAAACAAAATAACGTCCAAATTAATATGAACATTGAACAGACTCCGAAGAAAATATTTCGGTCAAATCACGGCATCAATATCGTAAAAACTCCAAGCGTTGGGATCCCCATTCCCGTGGCGCCGCCTGCCTCCCTGCTTACGTGTGTTTGTTCGTATGTCAGGTCAGAGAATTGCTACACATTGCAGGCCTGGGGGAGAGGTTAGAGGTCATAGAAGGTCATAATGGATCCTGTGCACTAGAGAATTGCTACACATTGCAGGTCTGGGGGAGAGGTTAGAGGTCATAGAAGGTCATAATGGATCACTAGAGAATTGCTACACATTGCAGGTCTGGGGGAGAGTTAGAGGTCATCATAATGGATCCTGTGCACTAGAGAATTGCTACACATTGCAGGTCTGGGGGAGAGGTTAGAGGTCATAGGAGGTCATAATGGATCCTGTGCACTAGAGAATTGCTATTGCTCTGGGGAGAGCATAGGAGGTCATAATGGATCCTGTGCACTAGAGAATTGCTACACATTGCAGGTCTGGGGGAGAGGTTAGAGGTCATAGGAGGTCATAATGGATCCTGTGCACTAGAGAATTGCTACACATTGCAGGTCTGGGGGAGAGGTTAGAGGTCATAGGAGGTCATAATGGATCCTGTGCACTAGAGAATTGCTACACATTGCAGGTCTGGGGGAGAGGGTAGAGGTCATAGGTCATAATGGATCCTGTGCACTTGGGCTGGAGGGCAGGTCAGAGAAGTTCACTGGAGCTCCCAATGTTGTTTTAGGGTTAGGAGGAGAGGTTAGAGTTCAGGGGAGGTCAACAGTGATCATACTCCTGCCCTTGGGCTAGAAAAGAGGTCAAGAAAGGTCATTGAGGCCTAAAAGGTCAGTGGGGGTTTATGAAACATAATTCAGCGCTGCTCTTGGATAAGAAGGGAGGTCATATGAGTTCACCAAGGCTTATGATTAGGTCAGAAATCGTTGATGGGAATAATTCACTGCTTTTTTTGAAGGGAAGGTCAGGGGTCATTGTGGATCCTTGTATTAGGTCAAAGTTCAGAGGGAATCTTAGTTGTTCTGGAGGGGCAGTGAATGACCTGAGATGAGCAAATGTTGAACGAAAATTAATAACTTTTCGAGAGGAATTATTCACACAAAGAAGATTCCAAATAGGAATTGCTAACAATTTACATCATATTATGAAGTGATACAATTTCATATATACCTCTCGTAAGCGCTGCATTCTGGAAAATATTGTATAAGCCTATTCTGTTTTTTTATTATGATTATTATTATTATTTCCTAGGCTACATGGGGAAAACGCAAAACAGTGAGTGAGACTGAGTGATATAGAAAGAGAGAGAGAGAGAGAGAGAGAGAGAGAGAGAGAGAGAGAGAGAGAGAGAGAGAGAGAGAGAGAGAGAAAGATAGAGCAAGAGAGAGAGAGGGGGGAAGGGGAAGGAAGAGAGAGAAAGAGGGAGAGCGAGCAGGAAACAGAGAAACAGGCAGGCAGACAGAGACAAAGAGAGACATAGACAGAGACAGACATAGACAGAAACTAACATACAACCAGAAATATAGAAGAAAGAATGAGAAACAGCGTGATACACATAGAGACCGACCCTCATGATTAACACATATTTTTCTCTCATACCTTACCCTCATACTTGACTTCTGACCTCTACACGTCACCCTCATATTTCATCCTGATACTTGAGCCCTTTGATTCACCTCATTCTTGACCATTTTAATTCACCTCATTCTTGACCCTTTAATTCACCTCATACTTGACCATTTTAATTCACCTCATTCTTGACCATTTTAATTCCACTTCATACTTGACCATTTTAATTCACGTCATTCTTGACCATTTTAATTCCACCTCATACTTGACCATTTTAATTCACCTCATCCTTGAACCTAAAAACCTGACCCCTATCCTTCCTCCTAATACCAGACCTCTATCCTTCCCCTCATACTTGACCCTCACACGTGACACACGACCTCACACTCGACCCTCAACACTCGACCCTCACACACCTCACACTCGACCCTCACACTTGACCCTCACACTTGACCCTCACACGTGACCCTCACACTCAACCCTCACACTTAAACCTCACACTCGACCTCACACTCGACCTCACACTTGACCCCTCACACTCGACCCACACTTGACCCTCACACTTGACCCTCACACTGACCTCACATACTCGACCCTCACACTTAAACCTCACACTCGACCCTCACACTCGACCCTCACACTCGACCCTCTCACTTAAACCTCACACTCGACCCTCACTCGACCTCACACTCGACCCTCTCACTCCTCACACTCGACCCTCACACTTGACCCTCACACTTGACCCTCACACTTGACCCTCACACTCGACCCTCATACTTACTTGACTTCGAGGGCGAGCGCGAAGATTCCGGCAGCAAGAGGAGCGGCTGCCGATGTCCCTGAGAACCGGTCGGTGCAGGAGCCGTGGAGGTCCGTCGTGGCCTGGGAGGGAGGGAGGGAGGGGAAAGGAGGGAAGGAGGGAGGGAGGGAGGAGGGTGGAAGAGGGAGGAAGGTGGAAAGGAGGGAGGGAAGGTGGGAGGAGGAGGGAAGGTGGAAGGAGGGAGGGAGGGAGGGAGGTGGGAAGGAGGGGAGAGGGAGGGAAGGTGGGAAGGAGGAGGAGGGAGGGAAGGTGGGAGGGAGGGAGGGAGGGTGGTTGGGTGGAGGAGGGGGGAGGGAGGGAGGGAGGAGGTGGTTGGGTGGAGGGAGGGAGGGAGGGAAGGGAGGGAGGGAGGGAGGGAGGGAAGGTGGGAAGGAGGGAGAGAGGGGTAAAAGGAGGGAAGGTGGGAAGGAAGGAGGGAGGAGGGAGGGAGGGAGGGAAGGAGGGATTTAGGGAGGTAAAGTGAGAGGGAGGGAGGAAAGGAGGGATGGAATGAGGGAAGATGGCAGAGTGGGGGAGGGGAGGGAGGAATGGTGAGAGGGAACGTTGGTGGGACGGAGGGAAGTAGGGAGGGAGAGAGGGAAAAAATGAAGTTGGGATGGAAGAAGGGTCGGTGGGAGGGAGGGAGAGAGGGAGTGAGGAAGGGAGGGAAATAGGCAAGGGCAAGAAAGGAAGGAGGGAGGGAGAGAAGGGTAAGGGAAGGATAGGAGGGACAGGGAGAAAGAAAGAGAAAGGAAAGAAGAGGGAAAGGAAAGAAGAAGGGCGACAGGGAAAAGCAGGGAATTAAAGATGGAAGGGCGAGAGAAAGAGAAAGAGAATTAATTGCTAGTATTTAAAGATCCAGTTCATATTTTCATAGAACTTACTCTAACATCATTTATCACCAATATCTCTTATTTCCCTCATCTTCTTAAACGTCCTATAACCTTGGGCATTAACCAGCATATTGTAAACAAATACAAAACGTTATTCCAGATATTCATTTATTCTTTATTTATTTATATATTTACTTATTTATTTATCTATATATTAATTTATTTATCTATGTATTTATTTATTTATTTATTTATTTGTTTATCTATTTATCCATTTATTTATTTATTTATTATTCATTTATCTATCTATCTATTTTTATTTTTATCTTTACCTTTAATTTTTTTTTTGTCTTCATCCCACACACTAAAATGCCATGTTTTTTAAACGTTTACCTCGTCGAGCTTTTTAAACACAAGGGCACAACATGGACGCGAATTCATTGGAGCTGAAATTACTAAGCTCACTGGCGCATACACAACATGCAAATAAACCCAACATATGCGGGGTATGCGTTGTCTCACATTCTCAATTGCTTTTTTTTTTTTTTTTTTTTTTTTTTTTTTTTTTTTTTTTTTTTTTTTGTCGGTGTGGTGTTTGTGTTGGTTGTCTGTATGTTTGTCTGTCTGTAAGCCTCTCTCTCTCTCTCTCTCTCTCTCTCTCTCTCTCTCTCTCTCTCTCTCTCTCTCTCTCTCTCTCTCTCTCTCTCTCTCTCTCTCTCTCTCTCTCTCTTCTCTCTCTCTCTCTCGCTCGCTCGCTCGCTCGCACTCGCACTCGCACTCGCACTCGCTCTCGCTCTCTCTCTTTCTCTCTCTCTCTCTCTCTCTCTTCTCTTCTCTCTCTCTCTCTCTCTCTCTCTCTCTCTCTCTCTCTCTCTCTCTCTCTCTCTCTCTCTCTCTCTCTCTCGCTCTCTCTCTCGCTCTCTCTCTCTCTCTCTCTCTCTCGCTCTCGCTCTCGCTCTCGCTCTCGCTCTCGCTCTCGCTCTCTCTCATCCCCCTCTATTTCCTACCTCTATTCCTCTATGCTTCCTCCCTCCCTCGCTCACTCACTCATTCCATCCGTCCATCCACCCCCCGCCTCTTTCATCTTTCCCCCTCAACACACACCCCCCATTCACCCCCTAAAACACATTTCCCCCCTCAACACACCCCTCTAACTCCCTTTTAAAAACACACACCCCTCAACCCCACCTCTTCATCACACACTCCCCACCTCTCACCCCAACAACGCACCCCTACCTCCTCAACACATGTCTTGTACCTCCAACACACTCCCACCATAACACTATCCCACATACCCCCTTTTTTAACACACACTCCCACCCCCTCCACCCCACCCTCCACCCCCTCAAAAACACACTCCCATCCCCTACCCACCCTCCAAACCCTCCAACCCCTCTCCCTACCAAACCCCTACCCCCCTCCACCCTCCTCCCCCACCTCCCCCTCCACCCCCACCCTCCCCTCCCCCACCTCCCCTCAACCCCACTCCCCCACTCCAACCCACCTCCCAACCCCCCCCCCTCCACCCTCCACCCTTCCACCCCACCCCCTCCACCCCCCACCAACCCCTCTCCACCCCACCCCCCTCACCCACCCAACACTCACAATCTTCTGATCCGTGTAGGCGCCGGAGGAGTAAGCCGAGGCGAGCGTGGATGCGCACCGCTCGCCATACCAAGGGAATTTCCCCGACTCCGAGGCGCTGCTGATACTCAAGGTGTAGATGGAGGAGGTGTAGCCGTCGCAGTTGCAGTTGTCGCCCGCCGAGCCTCCGTTGCCCGCCGCCCAGACGTAGATCGTGCCCTTCCCCTGGCGGCCCTGGCGTGGGGACGGAGGCGAGAGAAGGGTGAGGTTGGGGGTGGTGTGGCGGTGGGTGGTGGTGGGGGTGGTGGTGTTGGGAGGGTTGTGGTTGTGAAGTGAAGTGTGAAGTTGGTGGTGGTGTCTGGAGGGTTGTGGTTGTGAAGTGTGAAGTTGGTGTTGGTGTCGTTGTTGTTGTTGTTTGGGGGGTTGTGGTTGTGAAGTGTGAAGTTGTTGTTTGGAGGGTTGTAGTTGTGAAGTGAAGTGTGAAGTTGTTGATGTTTGGATGGTTGTAGTTGTGAAGATGGGGATGTTTTGGGGCGGTTGGGGTTATGCAGAAAACGGGGAGGTATTGGAATAGTTGCGATATGAAGAAAATGTGGTTTTGGATTAATTGCTTGCAAAAGAAATTGGTTGAGAAAATTAGATTTTGGAATAAATGTTAGTGAAGAAAATTAGATTTTGGAGCAGTCGGTATTATAGAAAGTGAGAGTTTGGAGCAGCCAGAGATCAAGAAAATCTGATGTTGGAATAGTTAGGGCTTAAAGAAAACGGAATAGTTAAAGAAAGTGGGATGCTGGAATGGTCGGGATCCAAAGAAAACCAGATGTTCGGGCCGGTCAGAGTATGAAGAAAATTCGATGTTAGAAGGGGAAGAAAGAGAACGGGTAGAGAAGAAGGAAGGGAGGGAAGGAGAGGGGTAAAAGAAGTTGAATAATACAAAAAAAATCCAATGTCTGTTTTGTTTTTATTACTTTTTCTGTTTTCGTTCTATCTTTTGAATTCACTTTTTTATATAGATCACTGATTTGGTATCTTTATGCGGAGCAGGTTAGGTTAACAGTGATATACTCCACCTTTGTATTGGTAGAATTTAGATTATGATTACATTTAAATTTATTAAATTTATTTAAATTTATTAAAATGTTAAATTTACATTCCAATAAATTTGAAAGAAAAACATATACCCACTTTTGGTTAGAATACAGAACGACAAGCACCTTTAAATACACTCGTATCCTTATTATCATGTATTCCCATATCCTGTTCCCGTCTTATTTCTCTTCCTGTCCCTCTCCTACCCTCCTTTCGCTGGCTCACCTTCTCCACGCCCTCTTTGATGGCCTCCCTCGCCAGCCTCCCAGGACCCTCGACCCTCCTGCCGTCATCCGTGGGGCCCCAAGAACACGTCACGATGTCCACCTTGTCGAGGGCGTGTCCCAGGGCGCTCCCTTCTATGGTGTCGCTCACAAGGCCGTCAAGCATGCGCACGCCTGAAGAAAGAGGATAAGGAAAACGGGTGGGATGATATGGATTTTGGAGAAAATTGGGGATAGAATTGTCTGCCCTTAAAGAAAATGGGATTTTGAGACGGTTGGGCTTTGGAGAAAACGGGGTATTTGGATGGTTAGTGTTTAGAGAAAATGGGATTTTTGTGACGGGTGACTCGAGGAAAATAGGATGACATGTCGGGATGGTTGGAATTCAAAGAAAAGGAGATGACTAGGATGGTCAGGAGTTGAAGAAAAATATTTCTCGGTTATCACTAAAGAAAATAGAATAACAGGTATCAGAGTTTGAAGAAAACATCACATCAAAATGGTCGGCAGCACATAAAATAAGAACTACTAAGATGGCTTTGAGTGAAATGGGAAACTAGACGTCAGAGTTTGAAGAAAATTGAACGCTTAGTGGTCCATACTTTAAGAAAATACGAGACAAGTGTGAGGTTGCGATAATCGGGATATGAAGTTAATTCTGATGTTGGAAAGATCGATGAGAGGAAAAGATAAGGTGAAAGTGGAATTTGTAAAGATAATGATGTTGTATACAAAAAGTAGTGAAATATAAATCAGATAATACGAAATAAAACTCATTTTATAATCAGCCTCGTTGGCTAACCAAATACCATTTGTAATAAACGACAAGTTAGGATAAAAAGGAACAGAATAAAGGAATAAATACAAGCACGGCCTTAACAAATTGGAATTAAGAGTGACAGGATTGAAAAAAGTGGGAATGGTTAATAACACCTGAGAAATGTTAAAATAATCGACATAGGATACATCAAAGAAAACGAAATCAACCAAGAAAATGAGGCAAATAGGAATCAACATAAGAGATATTGGAGAAAATGGGAATCGAGGCCAGATGCATAGAAGAAAACGGAGGTCGACACCAGACACAGTTAAAAAAAACGGAAATCGACACTAGATACACTGAACAAATACGTGAATCGTTACCAGGTAAGCTTAACAAAACGGAAACCAACATCAGATTAATTAAACAAAACGAAAATCGACAAAATTATCCGTCGTCAGAAAGCGGCATCAGAAAAGCTCATTTAGAAAGAAAAAAAAAAAAACAATCAATCAATCAATAAACACACACACAACACACACACACACACACCACACACACACACCACACACACACACACACACACACACACACACACATACACACACAGATATATATATATATATATATATATATATATATATATATATATATTTATTTATTTATATATATATGTATATATATATATATATATATATATATTATATATATATTATATATATATATATATACATACATACATACACACACATATTCATTTATTCATACATTAAATCTATATCTCACACATATATATACATATATTTATTTATCTATTTACACATTCAATCAATATCTCACCTCCACCCTCGCGCCGTATGCCACCCCAACACCGCAGAGCTTGTTGTTGGGGGCCATGGCGATCTCTCCGGCGCAGCGTGTACCGTGGGAGTTAGTGAGGTGGCCGTCGTAGCGAGGTGAAGGGTCGTCGTCGTTGTCGTTGAGGTCGTAACTCGTCTCCTCGTCCTTTGGGGAGGAAGGAGGGGGGGGGGGTAAGGTAGTGGTGGGGATCTTGTATGATATTTCTATTTATTTATTTTTATTTCTTTATTTTTTTCTTTCAGGAATGTTGTGCTTCGTGTTCTCGCTTTCACTCTTGCTCTAGCTCTGTCTCTCTCTCAATCTCTCTCTCTCTCTCTCTCTCTCTCTCTCTCTCTCTCTCTCTCTCTCTCTCTCTCTCATCTTCTCTCTCTCTCTCTCTCTCTCTCTCTCTCTCAACACACTCACTCACTCACACACTCACTCACACACTCAATCACTCACTCTCTCCCTCTCTTTCTCTCTCTCCTCTCTCCCTCTCCCTGGCCCACTCTCACTCACCCTCTCTCACTCTTTCGCTCCCTCTCCCTGTCCCTTTCCCTATCCCTCTTACTCACCCTCGCTCACTCTCACTCACCCTCTCTCACTCTCACTCACCCTCACTTTCATTCACCCTCACTCACTCACCTTTTCTCCCTCTCCCACTCACCCTATCTCCCTCACTCCCTCTCTCACTCACCCCTCTCCTTCTCACCCCCCTCCCACTCATCCTTCTCCTTCAACATCCTTCCCCCAACTCACGTAGCTCCCCCTGATATCCTTATGTCGCCACTCGATGCCATCGTCAAGCACAAGGACCCGGACTCCTTTGCCTGTGATACCCCTCTCCCACACGGGCACGACTTGGAGGTCAAGCTTGGGCAGGTCAGGTCGCGTCCGGGTGTCGAACTGGGGGTATTAGGGGGCCTCAGGTTAGCCAGAGAAATGGTGATAAGGGAGGAGATAGATGGGGAATCAGGTTAATAAGAGGAATGGTGATAGGCGAATAGGTAGATGGGGGAATGGTATCGTTAGTCAGAGAAATGGTCGTAAATAGATAAATAAATGGGGAATTAAGGCAATCAAAGGAATGGTAATAATGGAATAAAGAGATGAAGCTATCAGTTGACCAGAGAAAACGTTGAAAAAATCACAAATGAAAAAAAAACGATAGTACACCAATAAAGGAAAAAAGGAAAAAAAAAATCGTCGAAACAAGCAGATGCCAAATGTACGATAACGACCCACCAGGTACCACTGATGGACCCAGAGCTCGTCGTTGAATTTTCTCTCCAGTTCTTCGGCCTTCGCTGCCTGCGCCGACCTCCTCCTTCGCCCGGGTCCTCCTCGAATGACCTCCTCCTCCTCCTCCTCCTCCTCGAAGCCAGATATTCTCTTCACTCTCACGAGGGGCGCGTCAGGATCTTCGTCTGCCGGGATGGATCGCTTAGTCCTCTCCTTTATGAATTGCTGTTCGGCCCATAATACCTGCAAGGGATGGTTTAGGGTTTACCGTCATTATTCTATTATTATCACTATTATTATTATTATTGGTTTGTTGCTGTTGCTGTTAGTATTAGTATTATTGTCATTATTATTATTATTGCAGTTGTTGTTAGTATCATAATTATTATTATTATCACCAAAATGTTATTATGATTATTATTACAGTTATTATTATTATTATTATTATTATTTTATTTTATTATTATTATTATTATTATTATTATCAATCATTATCATTATTTTTTATTTTTGTTATTTATTATTATTCTATAATTATTATTATTATTATTATTGTTTTGCTGTTGTTGTTGTTGTTGATGTGTTAATATCAATTATTATTATATTACATTATCATTATCATTCATCTATTATCATCATCATCACTATCATCATTTCCATTATCACACACCATCATCACCATTATGATTGTCATCATTACTACTATCATCATCTTTCATACAACTATAATTGTCAATATTATCCTTACTCTTTCATAATTCCTTTCTCTTTCTTAAATACCAATGGACGATGAGGCGGTGTCAGTGAGTATAAGGGAACATGGTCTGATTATCGTACAGGAGAGTATAGGACGCAGGCTGAGCTTGGGCCCCCTTGCTAAAAGATCTAATATGTATATATATATATATATATAATATATATATATATATATATTATATATTATATATATATTATATATTATATATATATTCTTTCTTTTTTCTTTTTTCTTTTTTTTCTTCTTTTTTCTATTTTTTCTTTCTTACTTTTTTATTTTATTCTTTAATTCTTTTTTCTTTTTTCTTTTTTTTCCTTTCTTTTTCTTTTTTCTTTTTTCTTTTTTCTTTCTCTTTGAATGAGTATGACGTTTTAATCAATTCAACTTGGAAAATCGTGTTTGTGACCACTAAACTGAGATAAAGAAACTCTTTTTTTTTGTCAATGATGATGTCATAAAACTACCAGGCTGTGGTCATATGTGCGCCGTCCAGAATCATTAACTGAAGTACATTAAGAACTTTATAATTCCTTAGACAGTGGTTCTTAACCTTGAGTCTTTAAGTCACGAACCCTTTAGGGCGGTATTCACGAAAGGTCTAATGGCAGGTTGGTCTTTCTGATTTTGTCTAAGTTGCGCTGTTGCCACAATTCTGAGTTAATGCTGGTAATAAAACAAACATTTACATCGTTATAGACTCTATTAAGATGACTGATTGCAGACATATGTTTGAACAAGGTACTGCAATAAATCTTACTTCTGGAGTGACAAGAGCTTTACATATTTTATATATTTAACAAAAATTTGGCAAACCGGATGTTTGTTGTCGCTGAATCAGTTGCGAATGCGCGCGACGCCATTTGCATTTCCGAATAGAAAATTACTGTAAATATGCGGCCCCATCCGCGAGAGGGGCGTAACCCACAAATCAAACCATAGCTTGCGTTTCTCACCAAGAACTAAACCAAGACGAAGCAAACCAAATCAAACCTTAGCTTGCGTTTCTCACCAAGAACTAAACCAAGACGAAGCAAACCAAATCAAACCTTAGCTTGCGTTTCTTACCAAAACCTAAATCAACCTTACGGCAAGACGAACCAAACCGAACCAAACCATAGCTTGCTTGCATCCCTCACCAAGAACTAAACCAACCTTACTTACGGCAAGACGGAGCAAGCTGAACCAACCTTAGCTTGCTTGTGTTTCTTATCAGTAACTAAACCAACCTCACTTACGGCAAGACGAAGCAAACCGAATCAAACCTTAACTTGCTTGCGTTTCTCATCAACAACTAAACCAAACTTATTATCGGTAACACGAAGCAAACCGAACCTAACCATAGCTTGCGTTCCTCACCAAGAACTAAACCAGACCTTCCTTACGGCGAGACGAAGCAAACTAAATCAAACCATAGCTTGCTTGCGTTCCTCATTAAAACTAAACCAACTTCATTTACGACAAGACGAAGCAAACCAAATCAAACCATAGCTAGCTTGTGTTTCTAATCAGCTAGCTTGCGTTCCTCATTAAAACTAAACCAACTTCATTTACGGCAAGACGAAGCAAAACGAAACAAACCATAGCTAGCTTGTGTTTCTCATCAGTAACCAAACTAACCTTACGGCAAGACGAAGTAAACCGAATCAAACCATAGCTTGCTTGCGTTCCTCATTAAAACTAAACCAACCTCATTTACGACAAGACGAAGCAAACCAAATCAAACCATAGCTTGCTTAAGTTCCTCACCAAAACCTAAACCAAACCCTATTTAACCTTCTTAGAACACAACGCAACCAACAGCCAGACACGAGATATTCTACAGACAGGTTCCCTCCTTTTCACCAACCTTACGGCAAGACGAAGCAAACCGAATCAAACCATAGCTTGCTTGCGTTTCTCATCAGTAACTAAACAGACCCTATTTACGGCAAGACGAAACAGATCAAACCAAACCATAGCTTGCGTTTCTCATCTAGAACTAAACCAAGATGAAGCAAACCAAATCAAACCTTAGCTTGCTTGTGTTCCTCACACAAACTAAACAAACCTTATTTAACCCTCCAAGACCGCAGCGCATCCAGCAGCCAGACACGGGAGGGAAGGGAAGGGAGAGGAGCTGAGGGGTGAGAGGAGGAGAGCAGAGGGGAGGGAGGGTGAGGAGGGAGCAGAGGGAGGGAGGAGAGGAGGGGAGCGGTGAGAGAAGGCAGCAGGCAGAGGAGGGGTGAGAGGAGGGGAGCAGAGGGAGAGAGGAGAGAGGGTGAGAGAGGGATGTGAGAGGAGGGAGGGGACAGAGGGGAGCGAGAGGAGCAGGGAGTGAGAGGAGCAGAGGGTGAGAGGAGGAGGGAGAGGATGGAGCAGAGGAAGGGAGCAGAGGGTGAGAGAGGGGGAGAGCAGAGGGAGGGAAGGAGAGCAGGGAGGAGGGGAGCAGAGGGTGAGAGGAGGGGAGCAGAGGCAGAGGGGCAGGGTGAGAGGAGGAGAGCAGAGGGAGGAGGGGTGAGAGGAGGGGAAGGGGTGAGAGGGGGAGGAGCAGAGGGGTGAGAGGAGGGAGCAGAGGTGAGAACGGAGGGAGAGAGGGGTGAGAGAGGGAGGGAGCAGAGGGGTGAGAGGAGGAGAGGTGAGAGGAGGGAAGCAGGGGGGAGGGGAGTAGGGACGGGGTGAGAAGGGGGGAGCAGAGGGAGGAGGGGAAGAGGGTGAGCAGGACGGGAGGAGGGAGGGAGAGCGGAGGGGAGGGGAGGAGGGAAGCAGAGGTGAGTAGAGAGAGGGAAGCAGAGGAGTGAGGGAGGGGGGTGAGAGAGGAGGAAGGAGGGAGGGGAGAGAGGGGAGCAGAGGAGGGAGCGGGCGGGAGGGGAGCAGAGGGGGAGGGGAGCAAGAGGGGTGGAGAAGGAGAGCAGAGGGAGAGGGAGGGTGAGAGGAGGAGAGCAAGAGGGGAGGAGAGTGAGAGGAGGGAGCAGAAGGGAGGAAGGGTGAGAGAGGGGCGTGCCATGACTCGGCTTTGCTGGCGAGGTGTGGGTGAGCTGGGCGCGTCTCTCTTTGGGTGCGAGGGTGGTCCAGCTTCACCAGGCGGTACACGTCTTCAGCACGCCCACCTGTAAGTGAAATGGGCGTGGGAATGAGTGGTTTTGGGTCTCCTGTCTCGGAGTCGTTTCCAAGTAATTTGCATATTATGTATTGAAGATCGTTTAAGTGTTTTCAGGGACTCATACAATGCGTAAAAGTCGTTTTGATTATAGAGTGGAAATGAATACATCACAAAACAGATAGTAGTAATATAAATAAGAGAGAATGAGAGGGAAGAAAAACATGGAGACAGAGAGGAAGATCGAGAAGGTGGAGAGGAGCGACGAGAAGGCAGGAGTAGTGAGGAAGAGATATGAAAGATAGAAGTAGACAGAGTGTATAGGCGGAGAGATCGATTGAACGAGAGGAGAGAAGAGAAGAGAGAAGAGGAGAAAGAGTGATTGATGAGACAAGTACGAGTAGAATGAAGTAGTATTCAAATAGAGAAGATGATATCATTATATATTAATGAATAATTGAGAGAAATATAGAAGAAATCATAGACCAGAATAAGAAGGAAATAGAAGAAAAAGAAAGTATCAAGAGAAAATTAAATAGGAGGAGGATCAGCGATAGGAATTATAACCTAGAGAGAAAGAGAGAAGACTTGATAGAGAGAATAGAAGAATAGACAGAGAAAAGAGTATAATCAACAGGTGGAAAGGAGAAAGAATGAAAAATTAATAAAAAAAAATAGAAGACGAAAACAGAATAGTAGCGAATGATCACAACACGTAAGAGAAATACCACGAACGAATAAGATGGAATCTAGAAGGGAAGAAAAAGACGACAAAATAGTAGAAAAGAAAGAGCGAAAACATATACCTTTTTTCAATCCTCCCATCCTACTCGCAATTAAACCATATTTCTGGTACAACCTCGACATACCATTTGTCCAAAGCACTAATATTGCAACTGAACCCTCGAGGATCTATTATGCAGGCTTGTCCCACCTGCATAAGTCCTCTGTGCATGGCCTAATTTACAGATGGCAACGAAGCAACTCCATGGTATATGAATATGTTAAGTTCGTCGACCATGTCTCAACAACCAAACATTTATCACGTTATCCAATGCAGTCCATAATTTTATTACGTCGATCCACATACAATCATATAAAAGAAAATATCCGCAATAATGTTTACATAGTGCACTACAGAGACTAACACTTCATAACACAGAAACAAACACAATACGCATAAATATCTATTTAAAATTATGAATAAATAATCAAAATTAATAATCTATAATATAAACAGTCGTATTTATGATAATTATATTATAGTAAATTACTACATTAAATAGTATAACAATAACACCAAACCATATATTTAATAGAAATCAAGAGAAAGAGATCTATTACGGACGCAGTGGGAAAGAAAGCAATGAGCGCCACGGAGGAGAAAAGAGACGTGTGAGACGAAGAGACGAAGAGAGTGATTGATATCTATACAGCGAAATGAAGAGAACAAACATACGATATGTGAGGAGAGAAACAGCGAGAGCGAGTGAAGGTGTAATTTGTGGTAGAAGCGAACATAAACTGTGCACGTGTGTCAATACATACATTTTGGGTGAAGTTGCCCGCCGGAGAGGGAAAGGAAGAGCGAGAGAGGAAAGTATCAGAACTCTAGAACTTAAATAGAGAAAACGATATGCAACACTAGCGAAACCGAATTACATCAGAAATCCATGATATTATGTATCGAGAAATAACAGTACATCAAATGCATTCATCAATGCCTTTATCAGATTTTCAGTAACATCATGATACGATCAACCGTCAAAGAGATTCGAATCATGAGAATAATCTAAACAATATTTTTTCTTTACTCATTTGTAGCGAAGAGATCAGACGAGAATTGTACGTTAAAATATCATCATGGCATGAATCATTAAATATAGATCACGAGCTCAATACAATCATACCTCTAACTACATTATCCAATCTCAGTCTAATTGAACTAGAATTTAATTATTAGTTTCCAGTTTTATAATTTTTAACCGTCTTTTTCCATCCCATATTCCGCACCCCCTTGTCTTAATAACACCAATCTCCGTCGAAACACATCCTCTCAAGAGTCCAAACCACTTTCATAGATCAGACATTCCAACAAAAATGTATATATAATTCCCAATTGGGCTCTCGGCCGTACCCAAACTTTTCTTCCACGTGGTCTTTCACTCACATAAAAAAAGAGAAGCTGAACACAATTTTTCATACTACAGATTACGACACACAACAAATCACGCACTACAAGAGACGACACACTCACACACCGAGAACTGAAACCATAGCTAAAGACTAATAACTACCCGCACGCACACACCACGGCCTCAAATCCCAATTTCCCCCCCTATTAACTCTAGTGTTTCCCTCCCCCGTCCCATTCAGTATTATTCCCTACCCTATCTCCCCTATGTCGAACTACGCTTATCTTAGTAATTCCTCCTGGCCCTAAGCGCATACCCGTGCACACTTACTCCCACACCAACCTCTCTTTCCACCCACGTGTCCAATATCCACTGCGCCAGCTCCTCATCAACTCCCAGGTATCCTCCCCAACCCGTTCTGTCCTTCCCCCAACCCACCATCCACCCCTCCCCGCAACCCTACCTTTTCCACCCATCAGTGGCTGCAAACCGACATCCCCCACCCAACCCCACCCAAACCCCTTCCACCACCAATCCCCCCAACCATCCGAGTTGGCCACCCTCGCTCCAACCCGCGGTTCCCCAACCCCTCGCGTCATCCTTCAATCACATAGGCATTACCAATCGTCCCAAACAACCCGGCTCTATATTTGCATCTCTCTCTCTGCTTTCTCCCTTCACCTTTTTCATCATTGTTCTCATAGACTTACCTCGTTATTTTACAATGTTTATTATATATATTAGGTCGATCATTCGATTTTCAACTTCAATTTCCATTTCTATTACAACCCTCCATTCCTATCTCCCATACATTTCTCCCATCACCACCCCTATCTCACCCTCCTCCCCCCTAGCCCCGGTAGGAGGCGTCCAGCATAATTTCCTCCATACATCATTTATATTGTATCATCAATAAAGGCTCTAGCTCCTTTCGGCGACTCCTCAGAAGTAACGCCCCTCCGCTCCGCCCTCTCTTACTGCTCCCTATCTCTTCGATATTTTCCTTATCTTCCTCACCCTCCTTTTATTCAATCTTCCTTCGATGATTTTGCCGTAAAGGGGATCCCTTTGCTTTCTGCATAGACTAGTAGACATGACTTTATATATAATTAATATGAATTAATAATATAATTATAATTAGATATAATTAAATATATATATTAAATATTAATTATTCATAATATTCATACTTAATTCTCTAATATTAGCTCTCTCCTCTCTCTCTCTCTCTCTCATTTCTCTTCATACCTACACACAACACCACAACTCACCATCAACTCATACAAACAAAAAAAAAACAACTTATTCATATATCATACTCTTCATCTATTCTATATCTTACATTATATATCCTTATAGCATATTATTTACAGATCTTACAATACAAACTCGTAGTTTTATATTATTTATTCATTCTGATTTATACTTAATCTATATCTATATTAATACATAATTTATATATACTATTTATCATCATAATATTATAATATAACATGTAATAATATAAAATAATACTATATTCTCTTATACATACTTTATGAGAATACATTATACGGCATCTCTCGTCTCTTTCAATTACATCTGTTCTCATTAGACTCTCTAATTCAGAGAATAAATATCTTCTGCGTCAATCTCTCTCTCTTGATCTCTCTCTCTCTCTCTACATTCTTTCGCTTTTCTTTTATTATTTATCTAGATCCGATTTTTTCTTTCTTTATATTTTTTGTGAAGTGAATAGTATATTTAAGAAGACTTTGTTTTTTGTTTAATTTACTATGTATCATAACGTCGAGTGTAATTATTAATCTCATATTCATACATCAGCTTCGTCAAAATATCTTGCATTAAAATCTTTGATTATCATTAATTAATTATATCTAATCACCATTTATTAAATCACTAAATAGAATGATCACCACAATTCTTTAATATGCACGAAAATGATCATCACCAACTTTAATATACGAAATAATCAATTACCAATTCTTTAATTATATATATCAAGAATAATATTCGAAATATAATTAGTAAAAAGTAGTAAGTAGATGATAAATAATGAATAAGTAATAATCAATCGAAAAAATGAATGAATTAGATAAAAATGACGGAAAAGGGAAGATATGTTATGAGTAATATACATTTATAGTGAGTTGATGTATAATGATAGTTAATGAAACAATAGAGATGATATAGATGCGTAATTTAATGTAATTGAATAATAGTGAGATCAATGAATAATAATTGATAACAATAAAAGATTAAGTTAATGAATGAATGAATAATAAAGATAGTGAATAGATGATAATAATATATAATGAATAATAGATAAGTAATAATGAGTACTAATAAAAATGATACTAAAAAAAAAACCAATAAAATTTTAAAATGATTTAAAATTTTAAATAAAAAATTTTTTTTTTTGCCAGTAAAAAAAAAAAACCCCACCAATAAATTTAAAAAATAAAATTTTTTTTTAAATTTGATAATGCATCATAATCTTATCAAAATGAACAACAACAGGCAACAACAACAACAGCATGCTCAGCGTGAATCCGAAATCTACCTTTCCATCGCCCCAATAAACCTCCATTAACTTGCCCCTCATGAGCACCCCACGCCAGTGTGAGTGCAAGCCATGCGGCGTCGATATTAACACCGTTTCGAATATGGTCGGATGAGTGCAGTTGTGGGTTTATGGAACGTGAGGTCTTGTGCGCTGTTCAGAATGTTTTAGATGGTGTGTTTGTTGTGTTGGTGTGTGATGTGTGTATGTTATTAATATATGTATGGTGTCTAGTGTGATTGTAGTGATAGTCAATGTGCTCTCCTCGCTCGTTGTACTTTCACCAACTTCGTGCCGCGTGCCGTGTTGCCTGCTGCTGTCTCCAGTTCATAAACACACAGTACTACTGTACCCCGACTTGGGATCTGTAGACATAAGTGAGATTGAGTGTTGAGTGTGAGACAAAGTTGCGTAGAAGTATGAAGTTTGTATAAGTATATCAATAAGTGAAAATGAGCTGTGTGATGCTTCGTGTGTGATCGGCTCGCTTCATTCTGTATCTGTATCTGTTTTCCTTTATGCTGCCGTCTCGCGTCGCTGTCCTGTGTGTGTCGCCGAGCAGCAGAAAGAAAGAGATATAGAAGAAGCAGCCAGAGAGAGAGAGAGAAGAAGTAAGAAAGAGAATGATCATAAGCAAGAGGAGAAATAGATCAAAATCCTCAATAACCTATACACTAAAGCAAGAAAATACGCGAGACCACACAACACAGAACATAATCAGACAGACACACGTGTGTGGTATGCTAACTGCAATAAATATGAATTAACATGTGACTAGAAGGAATGAGCAAGTGTTGACCGTGTTAATCATAAGTGCATTTAAGTTCTATGAAACGTCACCATGTCCTCGTTCGCCGCTGGGTCTGATTGCTGTACGGATCGGTGTGCTTGTGAGAGACGTACTCAACATCTGCAATAAGTTCTATGGTTTATGGCTCCTTTCACGAAAACACACAACACCAGCTTACACATCTCGAAACGAGACATCATTACGGAGGGGAGGCGTAGAAGAGCGAGATAGAAGGGTGCACGCGAGGAGGGAGGAAGAGATGAGAGTAGCAGGACTATGGAGTAAGGAAGAGACCAAGAGAAGCTCCTTGTAGTTGAGAGTAGGGGAAAGAGATGGGAGCCGTGCTGTACTACATCTCCAGGTACCTGAGTGATACACTAATGCATACCACGACTATCGACCGACCGAGATATCGCAGAGAACAAGTCACTCCTCGCTTATGCGATGACGATCGTCACTCGACAACGAGAACGCGTCAGGCTGAGAAGAGAGAAAGAGAGAGGGTTGGAGGAGGGAACAGCCGAAAGAAAATAGGAGGGAGAGGTGGAAAATGAGAAGGGGAGGGCTGGAGGAGAGGGAGAGAGGAGAGGGGGGTCTTGAAGAAGAAAAGAGAGGCTGGAGGAAGAGAGAGAGGAGAAAAAAAAAAGAAAAATAAGAGGAGAGAGGGATGGAAGAAGAAAAAAGAGAGAGAGGAAGAGAAGTGAGAGATAAAGAGGAAGAGAAAGAGTGAGGGAGAGAGAAAGGAAAGAATAGAGAGGGTGAGAGAGAACTAAGAAAGAGGGGAAACAGAGAGGCGAGAGAGAGAGAGTAGAGAAGGAAAGAGAAAGACAAAGCCGAAAGACAGAGAAACTTAGAAAACTACGACATGAAAGAGATAGACGAGAACAAAAAAAAAAAAACACACACACACACACTCAAACCACATACAAAGACACACTGCAAAGACACTTCACAATTTTTTCCCTCAGTGAATCTTCTCGTCATCACCAAAGTCATCCTCGTTGTTTTTTTTTTTTTTTTTTATCCAAGTCTGACGGAAATTGTAATGAGGGGGTGGGGGAGGGATGCAGGGAGGAGTGAAGGACAGACGAGGATAAGGTAGAAGGATTAGGTTGAGCGAGACACTAGGAAGGAGAGACGAGAAGAATGAACGTTAAGAAAGAAATAAAGACGGTAGGAAGAGGTAAAGAAGGAGGGAATTTGAGAAAGAGAGGTTCATGATCGTAGGAAGAAGAGGAAGAAGAACTGACGTCACAAAGAAAAAGATAAAGAAAGATTTTTAAAATACGATTAAGAACAAACGTGAAAAAAATTAACATCAGTTTCTCGTTACGTTTAGTAGACCTCAATCAAAGGACAAGAAAAGATACTAAACAAAGATTGGGTAAATGGTGACCTTTTATTTTCCTGACCTTTTTTGGTCTTTGCTCCTCGGCTGCATAATAAGTTTGGTCCATATTTCGTGAGAATTATTAGCTTTCCTTTTCGTAAATAGCCTATGTAAGCATTCATTTTTATGGGTTTAATACTTCGTGCATTTTGTCCATCTAGAAAATATATTATAGTCCTACAGCTCTACAATTTCGTTTACAGAAAAACACACACAATACACAATATAGATTTTTTTATGTATATTTCAGTTTTTTTTTCCTGTCATATTATCGACATGGTAGATTGTCATGCATTTCCAGTAAATTCCTATATCACACCGTGTCCCAGTTTCCCGTAAGTACAGAGAGGATAGGAGAGAAGCTCGGCGCCCATGTTTATTCATAGTGAATTTGTCAAAGGCTTATATATTTACATCGAGTCCCCGTCACATCACAGTCGAAATGAACAGAGCATTTGGAAAATAAAATAAAAAAATAAAAACACATTCCCATTCGATAGATAGTATTCCTGGTAGTCATTGTCAAAACTCTTGTGGAACATGTTTCGAATTGCTACTCGAACGCCCAGATAATGTGATCTATATTGTTTCGGTTCAGAGGGTTTCGAAGCTTCATTCATGACACGACCTTTGCTAGTGCCTGTACAGTGGTCTCAAACAAGTCTCCTTAACCAATGTTTTGGTGTTATAATCTGATCTGTTATATTTATAACGTTATGATAACGCCTTTTCCTCAACTCACGACCACTGTTACAGTACGCATACACATTTACTGTAGTTACACAGTAACAAGAGTACTCAAGTACATTTTCTTGAAGATCCACATGTAATAACCGATAACGTTTTGAATTTATGACCGTTTGCCGATTACCCGAGAAGAGTTGCAGTTGCTGGTGTTGAGTAAATTTCTAGATTGATCGAAAATGCTTTTAGAGTAAAATTATCAATATTAGTATGAGTGCAGCTTACATTTTTCACCGGATCCGACAGTTGGGTTTCGAGAAAAGTTTCATGAGTACGGCACTACGACTCAACTGGGAATACAACCAAAGATAAATAGATAAAAATATAAAATAAGTGAAAGACTAACCCCACCCACGTGATGTAAAAGTACCTTGAGGTTAAATGCGTCGTTTGAATCACATATTGTTGCAACATTTATGAAGGAAATTCCTCGAGGTAATTCTCGGTGAAGTATTGCAGCGTAATTGTAATGTTAGATCACAAAAAATACTGTCGATTTGACTTTTGAATTGTCTTTTAAAGAACATTTCCCGTTTTCTCTAAATTGATACCTATATGAATTCATATTAGGAAAAATGTAAACAGTTCAATGTCTATTACATACCAAGTAGAAAATTGTTTCCTTATATCCAGGCTTTAATAACAATAGCTTAATGAATGAACATTATCAGCATTTTGGTAACGTGGCATTGAATGTATATTAGCATTTTGGGAGCGTATCATCAAATGTATATGCGTAGGCCTACATTCGGAGTAAGTCAAATAACACAATATCTAATGCAATTAACAAATTAACATAGTAATATGAAAGCATTATAAGAATATGATAGATGGAAAGAAGGGATACAATAGGCATAAAATTTATGCAATACTTAGTCTATTATGTGTATATTTCTTTACGCTATGATACAATAGGTAATGCAGTTAACAAACTAACATTGCAATATGAAAGCTTCACAGGAATAGATAAATATAATAGTAGATGGAAAGAAAGGATACAATAGGCATAAAATGTAAGCAATACTTAGTCTATTATCTGTGTATATTTTTTTTATACCTTATGCTTGTAGAAGATGGCTGGCGACTGTAAATTACGTATTTACTTCCTCTTGTATTTTTGGCCTTTATGGGGGGGGGGGATTCAAAGTAAATTAACAAAATTTTATGTTTTTTCAATTATGAGTTGATGATAATTTGTATTCGTTCAGGTTATTTCCGACATATCTGCTGCATCTTTGCCTTGATATAATGTTAATAAACACACATAACTAGAACTTAGAACACATTTTTCTTTCAAGTAATATTATTTTTCATCGTGTTTTGGAGCATCTTATTATGGGGAAGGCTAGCAACACGAGGAGGTGTAATGGCGTCTGATTACTGTTGGATATGTAAACATGAAAATGTGCTATTCTAAAAATAGCCCATCGTAAACACAAACCAGTTGATTCTCGCATCCGCAACGACAACTCTCATCCTTTTTGAAAACTGAAAAGGCCAAAATGACTCTTTCCAAAAATAGAATCAGGCGCCATGACACCTTCTCGAGTTGCTACGGATCTAGCCTTCCCCGTCTTATCCTTATGCCTTCGTTTTCTTTGTCGTTGTTGTAATTCCTTAAACGAACGTTGAAGAACGATCACCATGACTGCATGAAGAAAATATGAATGAAAATCAATAGTCTTATAAAATAAGAGCTACAACTGACACATTTCGATTGAGTCTGACAAAGAAGTTACAACGATGTGCGTCAATAACACTTTTTTTCGGTTTTGAGGTTACTTATCTCTGTAAATCATATTAATTGTTTCGTCATTCATGAGGGTGGTTCTCGTCATTGTCGAATTTACAATTATGATAATATCATTATCATTATTATTGGTATCGTTGTTGTTCTTGTCATTGTTGTTATATTGTCATATGCTCATAATCATTTATATTATCACTACTACTATTACTATTACTACCACTACTACTGCTGCTGTTGTGGCCACCACCAATATTACTGCTTCTACGGCTGAAATTACTATTGCTACTATTACTACCATTGCAGGTGAAGCAACTCATACTAGTAATGATATCACTACTACTACTACTACTACGGAAATGCTATTTTACTGCTTCATGGTTGTTTGAATAAACTTATGAACTTAGTGCATGTAATAAAAAGAAAATGCCGGAATGGCTGAATGAATTACATTTCCAGAATTTTTTAAAAATGGAATTTAAAGAATATTTCAAAATATGATGAATTTTGCGTGGGATGTACTTTGAGAGAAAAGGAGAGGGAGAGAGACAGAGAGAGAAAAAAAAGGAAAGAGAGAGAGACAGAAAGATGATTGTAGCCCATTGTAACAAATGCAAAAAAAAACGTATAAATGGCAATGAATAACTTCACTACGCACATATAACTGACGCATTTCGACGGAATATTCATCAGAAATTACATAAGTTATTTTAATTATACTTTTTAAAACGCGATCCATTTGCATCTCATTACATAGCTCTCCTTTTACAACTTCAAGACATTTTTTTCTATAAACGACGGATATGTCTAGAAAAAGAGAGAGAAATGGATTCTTAAGATAAATAAACGAATGAATACATAAATAAACTAGACTGAGTCAGATGATGGAAGCGGAAAAGAAACTTAAATTGATCTAAAGTTGAACAAGTGAGTAATCCCTTCACTTATTTGGACCAAGTAAGTGTTTAGTTTTGATACTTAAGTTGTTCCTTCATGACAGAAAAATACTTGGAATGTCTCTAAACATATCGATGTTTTGGTTTTATACTTTGTAGATTTGCTCATATAATCATCAGTTAATACGTTCTGATGCCTTAGTGTTGGATTGCCCTTAAGACACTCGGTTGTTTTCCGTCCGCGGGAGAGACGGTGAAAAATAATAATAATAATGAAATGATTATAATGAAATAATAATAATAAATAATAATAAATGATAATAATGATAATAACAATAATAATGATGATAACAATGATAATGATAATAATGATGATGATAATGATAACAATGATAATAATAATAATAATAATAATGTAAAAAGAAGGAGAAAAGCAGAGGTATGGCGCCGGACTCACCTGGCCGAGGAACTGGTAGCCGAGGTCCTTGGCCACGGCGCGAGCGAGTTCCTGGCCGCCCGTCATGTGCACCGCCCACTCGTTCAGGAAGGCCTTCGTGTGCTCCCTCCCCCCGTGGGCGGCGGAGTGGAGCTTGCTGTGGGCGTGGGTGCCTCTGTGGGCGTTCGCATACCCTCGCTTCGCCAGGTCGTCGTCATCCTGCCCAAGGCCGCGTCGCCGTGTGGGGGGCGACCTTAGGGAACTCGTAGCTTCGTAAAGGTCGTTCCCCACAGGTATCTGGTTCGCGAAAGTGCCTCGCGGGTCGTCGAAGTCCGGTTCGAGGTAGTCCTTGATGCCCTCGTCCTCGGCGCGGGCAGGCTCGACGCCCTTCGCGAAGATACCCCTCAGGGTGTCCTTCACCTTCTCGTAGGCCACGGTATCGTCTTCGTCATTCACCAATTTATTCTCGTATTGGCTCTCCTTCAGGTTCCTCTTCCTCCCCCCCCTCTCGCCCGCCCTCCCCCTGGCCCCCGACGCCGACCCAGCGACCAGCGCCAGAACCAGCAGGACGAAGGCCCTCCGGGGTGCGGAACCGGCCCAAGCGCGCACCATGGCAAAGCGGTGGGGATGAACTGCCTCCTCGCGCTGGCCGCCGGACCAAGAGCTAAAGGGGGAGGGGGAGGGGGAGCTAAGGGCAGGGGGGAGCTTTCGGAGAAGGGGAAGAGGGCGCTTTAGGGGGGGAGGAGGAGAGGGGGGGAAGTGTGCACACAGCCACCCACACCTGCCACTTGAGACGAGTGCCACGAGACGACCCTAATATAATTCCCGCTCTCGAATTAACCCGAAAGACGACCCGGAAGTAACGGCTCCTACCTTTCGACGGCTTTTCCCGGGCTTTTTGTACCGCCAAATATCACTCGAAATCTAAGACATCCAATTCTTAAACCGCGAAATTAATAAATAGATATTCAAATGAATCTCAGACGGACTGGAAACTCAGGACTAATTACCTGACTTTCGACAGGTGTGCACGCTGGTCCTCCGTCAT